ATGTGGGGGCGTGTTAGAACGAGCTGTTTTAGGTAGGCGTGGTTGACTCTTAACTTTTATAAAGAATGTCTCTTTGGATTTGAGACTTTAGTCTTTGCAACTTTACAGATCTTCTTTATGCACCAAGAGCTTGTAACACTCCAAAGAGAAAGGAAAAATTGAAATTGCATCATATGACCCCTTTAAAATATATTACTTTTTTACTAGGGTATATTTCTACATGTAAATTTCATACATATGTAATTTGCCCCCTGACTAAACAAAGAATTTAAGGGAAGCATTTAAATAATCCTGTGAATGCACTTAAAGAATGCAGAATCGACCGGAGGCATTGAGCAGAGGCCGTCGGCTAGAGTGAGCGGAGTCCGGCTTGAGTGAGCAGCGGCGGGCGGGCTTGTGGCAACCACATGTGGCGACCCCGGGCTGGACTCCGCGGAATCATTAATCGAATCTCATCGAATTTAAATTGTGAATGGTCTCGAATCGAATCGTTCTAAATTTGCAAAAATCGTTCTTGAATCAAAACCCTATGAATTAGGGGTGCTCCGATCAGGATTTTTGAGGCCGATCACCGATTGCCGATCACAAAAAGCAGTATCTGCCGATACAATCACCGATACCGATCTTTTTAAAGCCTTACTTTTATTATGTAGAATTATTTATAGTAATACTTCAATCAGGAATTTTAGACATTTATTCAGGGCCTGAATTTCATTTTTGAAAATGGGGGGAATTTCCCTCTTATAGGTGAATCTTGTGAGAGGGTTTTTTTTTATTTTTATTTAAGGGGTGGAGGGGAGCCTTTTTTAGACATTTTCATAAATATATATTTATCTCACCTAAATGTTCGATCATGCAGTGCATTTTTGTTTTTACACTTGTGCAATTGTTGCACAATAGCTTACACACAGCACAAAACAGTTGCTCAAACAAGTGGCAAAACATTTAAAATACTTTTCTTACATTAATTAAAACATTCAAAATAAAAACTTACCATTGACAGTCAGCTCTACTGCCTTTTCGTTCAAGCAATCCTGTCCATAAAGAACTTTGTTTTCCTAACTCCACGAGTGCCATGCCATCTATTATTGCCTTGTTTATCTAAAAGTGCTCTTTTCCTTTAAACCTAGCCAAAAAGCAGTATGTGTTGACTGTGAAACACAGCAGACTTTAATTATATGCATTTATGGTGTAATTACTACATTTTCGTTTACATATTTACTGCAAAACATGCGCTGTCACTTCAATTCAGCGTGTGCAGCAAACTAGGTGTGGAATCAATCGCTGCACTGCTGCGGACTGCTTATGGAACGCACTGCCGGACCGCAACCGTGTGCAGTGTGAACGCTTTAAAATCCGTTAACATGAGCCCGGTAAAAATACGCACCGCATAGGCCTACGCACTGCGAACGGAGTATGTGTGAACCTGTGTGCGCTGCGAGTTTGCATGAGCGCACAGTGTCCAGGAGAGCGCTGAATGGTTAAACACTGGCAAGAATTAAAAAGAAATGCAATTTATAAACTAGTGACAACACTGGCTCGATTGTGCAAGTGAAAATTCCTGTCAACTGTTCTGCGTGCAGCTCGCTTATAGACAGACGTGATGTGTGGTGATTTGAAGCCATTTGCGTATTTTGAGAGAGATTGAGCGCGCGGTGATTCACTCGTGCTGTTTGTGAAATTATGTCTCACAGAAAGTTTTCAAATTACTTTAAAAGTTATTTAATAAAGAAATACGAATTGCACCTCACCTTCAGCATTATAATTATTTCACCCGCGCCGGACAGAGACTGAGACGGCGCTACTACATTTTCGTTTTCATATTTACCGCAAAACATGCACTGTCACTTCAATTCAGCGTGTGCAGCAAACTAGGTGTGGAATCAATCGCTGCACTGCTGCGGACTGCTTATGGAACGCACTGCCGGACCGCAACCGTGTGCAGTGTGAACGCTTTAAAATCCGTTAACATGAGCCCGGTAAAAATACGCACCGCATAGGCCTACGCACTGCGAACGGAGTATGTGTGAACCTGTGTGCGCTGCGAGTTTGCATGAGCGCACAGTGTCCAGGAGAGCGCTGAATGGTTAAACACTGGCAAGAATTAAAAAGAAATGCAATTTATAAACTAGTGACAACACTGGCTCGATTGTGCAAGTGAAAATTCCTGTCAACTGTTATGCGTGCAGCTCGCTTATAGACAGACGTGATGTGTGGTGATTTGAAGCCATTTGCGTATTTTGAGAGAGATTGAGCGCGCGGTGATTCACTCGTGCTGTTTGTGAAATTATGTCTCACAGAAAGTTTTCAAATTACTTTAAAAGTTATTTAATAAAGAAATACGAATTGCACCTCACCTTCAGCATTATAATTATTTCACCCGCGCCGGACAGAGACTGAGACGGCGCCGCTGCATGTCATGCCAAATCTCTCACGGCAGGCGCGTCATCAGCTTTAGATCGTTTTTTTGAGATCTGCCTTTTTAGAGACCGCCGATCAATCATCCCAAAGCGATTATCGGCCGATAGTGATCGGAAGCCGATCAATCGGAGCACCCCTACTATGAATCGTGAATCGATTCGCTGTTTACACAAAGATTCACAGCCCTAAATTAAATACATAAGACATACTTATTACAAGTTGTAAGTAAGTAAGTAAGTAAGGAAGGAAGATTTTATTCTTATCTCTGCACTACTTTTTAAAGGTCAAAGAGGTATCCGTTTTATTACCTGAAGTCATGAAAACAGTTCAGGTTTAATACGAGTTAGACCACCTAAGGGGTTCAACACACTAGCACATATCAGTATATTCACACACATACGTACTTCAACACACACACACACATCTTCCAAAGCTATTTTTCTGCTTCCATTGTAATGAAATTCACCCTTGCTGTTATCTTAAACTCACCTTATTCGTCCCACAGATAGCAAACTCTCATTTAGGACTCTATTATTTTGGCACCTGCCTCTGAGTTTCTGTGCCGGAGAAGGAATCTATGTGGGTGAGTGAGTAAGGAAACGAATCTGTGCTGCACTGCAGTTTTTTTTTTCTCCACCCCTATGGATCTTCATTTAATGAAGAACTTGGGTCAATGCTACAATAAAACCTTTTTATCATGGCTTTTAATCATAGCTAGAAAACTGTTAATCTAATATACTCTAAAGACAGCTGATGCATTTTCCTGGTCTTGCAGCACGTGAAGTGCTGAAGTTGTCAATAATGGCTAGTGACAAACAGCCTCCAGATTCTAGCATGTCAATTCTATTAGTTCTATGAAACTCTGCGCGTGTAAACAGGTTTATCATCATATACAGAACAAGTCAAAAGTTTAGACACTACTGAACTGACTATTGCCGCAAGATAATTGTTAATGAGACAATCAAGATTGTGCTCAAAAACTTTAAATTGCGATTTTTAATAAAAATTATTCTCATGAGAGAAATATATTTTTAAATTTCATCAGAATTATTGCACATTCATGTAAGCACAAATCAAGATAATGTCAACTCATATGCAGGGTTTACACCTCATCTAGTTTCCTGATTTATTATTTTCTCTTATATATTAACCGTCTCTTCTGGTAGAACCTTAAGTAGCTCTCAAAAGCTAAAACAGTTCAACTCCTAATATTAATTCCAATAATTCCAAATTATCCTAACGTTTTTTCCATTAAAATATCTATTAAAAAGACTTTGTATATTTGTCATGGTTGGATTTATTGACAATGTTTGCTTTAAGATTTAACTGCAGCAAATATCACAAGTGGCCTCGTGAAGGAACATAGACTGACTGCATTACACTTTTTTGAGCAAAACATTACAGTGAGATTGCAAAACTACAACATAACACATTTTTCTGTTTTCATATCATCAGCACTTTTTTAACAGTGTGTGTATGTGTGTGCACATGGTTGCCAAGTTTAGTAAAGATAAAGTAAAACACTGGGCAGAAAACATACCTATTTAAGAAAATTGATAAGACTGATTGGGGGATTTAAACTCTTGACATCTAGCAACCCCAAACATGAAAGCTTGTTAGCAATGCAAGATAACAAATGTCAAATAAAAAATAAAAAGTTTTCAGGATAAATAACCAGTAGGCCAATAATGAAGACTATTACTCTTCATTAACTGAGATAAGCACAAAGCGTGATAATGATTAAAATACAATTAATTGCATTGGGATAAAATTGATGAAAAAAATCATGTCTAAACTTTGTTTTGTTTGAAATTAGATTTGTAGAAAAGTTGTGCAATGCTATTACTGCTTATACAAAAATTTGAATTAACTGGACAAGCATTTAACTGAGCATACCACCAACGTAATTAACTACTGAATAATAGAGAAACATATCAGCGTGCTAGCTTATCTTTACTCTTAATTACTTGTTCTGACAGCTCTAATTGTCCATGGGTGTTTAGAGCAGCTTCCAGGCTGGTCGGCTGGAGGTGAGGATGTTCTAAATGTCTCCAGTGTGGGCATCATTACACTCAAACATTGACCTCATTAAATCAAATATCACCTATTTAGGAGCTTATTGAAGCCTTTGTTAATTACCAGTTTACCAAGCTGTTGACAAACAAAGAACAAGAGTATTATTCGCATACACAATAAGGCGCTGCTCCAGTGATTTATCTAAATCTCGTCCTAGCCTTTGGAGAGAACATCATGCCAGGAAGGAGGACACGTTCTAGATTTCTATAGGAGTTACAGCCGTCCATACTGCCTATGAGACTGAGGTTGAGAGAAGGATAATGGGTCATATCAGACTTTTGACTATTTTCCCTTGCTTAAAGGTTACGTTCAAACAAAAATTTAAATAATTTTCATCATTTCATGTCATCATTTTTGTCATTCCAGAAGTTCATCTTCGAAGCAAAAATGCTAATGCTCTAACTCTAATGCTTTATATGGATTTCTTTTTATGATGTCCTTATGAACTTTTTGAAGTGTTTTGGCTGCATGCAGTGGAGGGACAGATGATGAAAAAAGTCTTACGGGTTTAGAATGACACGAAGGTGAGTAAATGATAACAATTTTCAGTTTTTTGGTGAACTATCCCTTTAAGTATATTTAGATGGTTCAAGTTTCTGTGCATCCAACAGAAATCATTCTAACATGTTACTTTGGCACATCATATTACCATAGCAGGACTGAAAATGATTGTTCTACCTAATTAAATGTTTTAAAGGTACAATACTTTCTTAGTTGTTGATATCATGAGTACACATGCGTTATAAAATTTTGGGTTTTACCTATCTATTGTTCTAGAGAGAAATAGCCACTTTGCACTGGGGAGAAAGTGTTCGGTTCTGAAATGTATAGTGTTTACAAAGTATGAATCCTTTTGTTTTGACGAGAGTAACTGAATGTGTTTATTTATACGTTTCTTTTTTTACCTTGGTGAGTAGTAGGACTCTCTTCTGCAGGCGACGGACAAGCGAATCCTGGTTCTCTCGTTTCTTCTGTTCTTCTTGAGCTTTGGCTCGCAGTTGAGCGATCTCGGGTATGAGCTCAGTGCGGGCCTTCTCCACAGAGCGAATGCTGAAAGAGACAGATAGAAAACGGCAGAATAACATTAGGATAGAGCAGCTCTGGGGAGAACACAGAACTGCATCCTCTATATCCTGGAAGGTCATTTCCTTTGTAGGGATTTCTATCATGAACGGACACTGATATGCCCCTATCAATTAATTTCCTAAAATTAATTAATCAAAGACATTACACCTTATAACATAAAAGCTGCCTTCTGAGTGTTCACAGCTGAATATATGCTCTTTGTAGCTGGGCCGTTCTGGGAAATGGCACAATGTTATGTGGAAGACAGTGAGCCATAAACAATTCTCTGAAACAGCCCTGAAAACACCCCCTGGTGAAGTTAAATGAATGAGCATGTCTGATTAATCCATATTCATTACAATAATTAGCTTAACTAGTCACTAACTAACTAGTCAGATGTAGTGCACTTTGGTACAGTTAAACAAATTCTTATATGTCATTTGAGACAAGTATTACCAAATATATATATATATATATATATATATATATATAGTGCTGTGTGCTTCGTTGTGAAAGTGAAACTACTTTGTTTGGTCTTCCAAAAGAGGATGATATCTGCTTCTTCATGCCTGGAGCTGATCCGTGCTGGTTGCTGAGGAAATACAACAACTTTGCGCTGTGGATCGCCGGATCGGCTTTCACCGTGGACGAAGCGGAGTCCAGCCCAAGGTCGTCACATGTGGTTGCCGCAAGCCTGCCTGCCGCTCCTTTGTCGAATCCGCCGGCCGCGCCGTTCTCAAGCCCACCGGCCGTCGCTCACTCAGCACCCCGGCCTCTGCTCACTCATCCCGACGGCCGTTCCTCACTCTAGGCCGCCGCCGCTCACTCTAGCCCGCCGTGTGTGACGTTGTGTTTCGTTGTGAAAGCGAAACTACTTTGTTTGGCCTTCCAAAAGAGGACACAACTAGAAATCAGTGGTTAAGTTGTATTTACAACACTGTTCCAGAACACTTCAACCCAAATATTCAGATGTGTGCAGCACATTTTATGGAGGACTGTTTCCTGGGAGATTAGACAACAATGCCGGCTGCTCTGACTCACAGACTGGAAGTACGTTTTTTATAGGGATGCACCGATACCGTGCTCCTGTACTCGTAAAAATGCCCCGATACCAAGCAGCGTGTGAATAGAGCTGTGTCCAGAAAAAGAAACACTGAAAACAGAACAACAGAGAGTAGAATGGAGTTATTAGAGATTAAGGATGTCTATGAAGTACATGCAAGTAATTAATATAATGTTAAACATTCAATATTCACGCCTGTATAGCGGATGTGCCCGAGCTGATAAGCAGAGCGCGCTGAGTGGATTGAGCGCACGGCTGCACAGATGCACGAGCTTGTCGAGTGAATATCTCACAGACATCACTGGAAAGTTTGTAGTTCGGTCGTAAATGTCAAAAGCAAGTAAGTAAAACAATGCACAAGTTACTAAAGTTATTTGACGGTAAGGGAGAGCGAGAGAGAGCAAGAGCGAGAGAGAGAGAGCGCACTTCTGTTGCATGATCTTGATTGCTGTTCGCTCCATTAGCGCATACATTTGGATTAAAACTAAATCGTAAATATAAAACAAACAAAAATTAAAGGGGCATTCACTATAAACAGCATTTATTTTAAACGTCAAGCATACACAACTTTATTTAAAGCAGAAGTGAAACTAGCAGACTGGGTGAAATGCGCTATAGCTCTCTCATTCTGCACCAATACAAACGTGTGCGCACTGCATATGTTTAGCTTGCTTTAAGGCCAAAGTATACTTCGGTTTTTACTCGTACGTGAGGGTCCGTGTACACTGCGCGTGACGCAAATTACATCACCAAAATAGTACGCGTGCACTCGTATAATGTATAACGAGTGGCTCCCTGCATTATTTTAGGAAAACGTTTTGTGACTACAGTATTGAGCTGCTGCAATGGAGCAGCTCTAATGCACCATTAAAATGAACAATGAAAGTAACAAAAGCTTATACAATACATTTTAACAGGTATAATTAAGTGTGGAAATAACTGAAGGTAATATCTGTTTGCTAAATGAAGCCAAATAACATGATTCATATTATTATTATTTTATTTCTGTACCCAATATTTAAAAAAATTACAAATGCTGTGAAAATCCAGGTATCGGCGAGTACCAAAAATGAAAGTATCGGTATCGGACTCGTTCTGAAAAAAGTGGTATCGGTGCATCCCTATATGTAACCCTAGTTCCCCGAGGGAAGGAGACACTGCATCTCGTAGTCATACTTCCTGCATCCCTGTGAGCGCTTCCTTCTCAATCCAGAAGCTGCCGCTGTCTCCACCGCATGTGCTTTTGTTTCCACCACACGCTTGAGGTATTCGGCCAATCACAACGCACTGGATAGCTGGCCAATCAGAGCACACCTCGTCATTCAGACTGATGAGCTTTGTAAAAATCGATGCGTTTCAGAAAGGCGGTGCATAGAGGAGAAACAATAATGTACAGTATGTGGAAAATATATGAGTCAAGCATACACAACTCATATATATGAGGTGAGGTAAAATGTAATTGTTTTCTACTCCAGATATACACTTTTCAAACTAATATATTATTTTTAAAATGTAACATTAACATGGCTGTAATTTGGACATAGATTTCATACAAATACAAAGCAAAACAAATGTGCATTTTTTCTATTGGTTTTTACTATGTAACATGTCCATTCAGTCAAGAACCATTGGATTGAAACCAAATCCTCACCTTACATTTTTTCCTCTCATCACAACTTTCAGTATAATACTCTGACACTTAACCAGACAATATAACAAGGAGACAGACCTTTTTTAGAAAAATAAATGTCAATTTTTCAGGTTCACTGTTTTTCTGTCAAAATAATAATCGCAAAGCAATTCCATATTTCACTTTAACAGCTCTGCTTTTTAGAGAATTGAGGGCAGCTAGCAAGATTGATCTTATTATCTGGCATTTCTAACACTTACCGAACTGCCGCCAGGTACTGAAATTTGCGCAATTTTACACTTTTCGCATTTTCGATATTGCTGTATTCGATATTGCTACTGTGCAGATCTTGTGCGGTGTCACTGTTAAGACACAATAACGGACATCAAAACAGTTAGCAAAATGGCAGCACGTATTTATATGAGAAGAAGCTGTTTGTTTGTGTGTGCATGTGTCTTCTGGAGATAAAGGAAGGATGTTTGATACAGATAGACTTTGACTGGAAGAGCACTTTTCCACTTGACCTTGCAGAGTGAGAGAAATTACCCACAGCAAGAGTTCAATTCCATCAAATGTGCTGGAAAAGTGTGTGTGAGTCTTTGAATCTGCTGGATTAAAGGGAGAGAAAGTGCTAAGACTGTACGGGTGGATGTAATTGTGCTTTCTGGAGGTAGTTGACAAGGGAAATTTGTTTGTAGGAGGAGGGCGGGTGAGTTTGTGTGGGCCGGCGTTTGCAAGAGCGAGTCAGCATGTGTATGTGTGTGTGTCCTCATAGCTAAATTGATTAACTCCTCTCACCTCTTCCAGATGCTAACTATCCAGCCCAATTTGAGCTGTAATGAAAATCATCATGGCCTGCTGTGGAGGGTCAATAAGACAGTAATGCACAATCTAATCACAAAACCATACACGTCTCCTATCAATATGACCTCAGCACATGCTGAGGCTTATTATGCAAATTGCCTCTATTCGTTAGTGAACAGGGTAATTGATTTAGTTGGCCCAGTTTCTCAACACAGAAGGAGCAGCTTAATGGAGTGATTCAACCAAGTGGACCCCATGAATGCACGGCAACACACACAAACACATGTATGTAAAGCACCTATAAGCACTTGCGTTATAACACAAAGAGGGTGATTTTACGGTCCATCGCATTATTCCATTACGGTAATAATTCACAGCCACCGCATTTCTATTTAAATGTTTGAAAATTATTACCAAAAGAGCTGAAGGTACATCCTCCATATTGATTATCGTCTGGTGCCTATTTAGGAAAAGATTCACCTGCTAATATGCATCCAACATGTAAACCGAACAACCTCATTTTTTACATGGTGTTTATGGGCAACAAAATAGGAAATACATGATATCACAATAACAGACCTTCATGCAGTAACGTGGCTCATTCACTAATGGTGCAGCAGTCTCTGCAAACGGTTGTATAGGAAACTAGCAGTATGGGTTTTTATATACACAGATATTGAGCGGGGAGGTCAATGTACTTCAGTATAATGATTGCAAATAACTTAAATAAGGCTACTGAAAGCAGGAACATGCATTTGGAACTGACACACAATAAGGCATACTGCGATTCGAGCCAAAGGCTGTATAGATAACAAGACGGTGCACTCGTAATGCTATGAATTGAGGAAACTGCAACACACTATATGGCAGCTGAGGGAAGGGCTGTGCAAAACATCGAATATTAGCAACACCGCAATCTAAAAAGAAATCACTTTGTTGTTGCAACATCCACAAATTTTTGTAGGAAGACTGCATTTTTGGCGTCATTTTTATGTGTTTATTTTGCATATTTGATTTTGGTAAATATGATTTTTAAATGTATTCATTTAGTAAAAATCAGTAATACAGTCATTATTTTTTAACTAGTGCTGATTTTGCAGTAAATAATTTGTAGGTACTCTATAAAAATAGCCGTTCTATCCAAATCATGTCCTTTTTGTTGGGGTGCAAATCACCTTTTACATTTTTTTCAGGAGTAAATGCAAAAATATAATGATAGGCCTATATGATTGATATGAATGAATATCATCAAAACATGGAAAAATATTGAGATTCAATTTTTTATCTATATTGTCCTGCCCTACTCCAGATGGCTCTAGTACTGCAAGTACACTTTTATATAAATAAAAGAGTCAATCACGAAATGGTAAAGTCATCGCATCACTGCAGCTTCTATAGAAACCCATCCTGGGACCCACCTTTTTTTAATATTTTTTTATATAAATGTCAGAAACATTTACAACACAGTTCATGTTCGATTTTTTTGCT